GGTTCCGGACCTGGCCAYCACCGTCTAAGTGAGTGTGCATCTGCTGGACATAAAGCCTAAGGCTTAAGACTTTTGAATTTAGCCTGCAGAGGGCAAGTCTGTCATTAGCCTATCATGATTAARTGTTTTTCTAGAATTAATCTAGAATTGTTTGCTATGAATTAATTAATCTAGAATTGTTGGCTGTGAGTTGATCATGTCTATTGCAGTGCCTAACATTAAGGATTGTCATTTTCTTGATTAAGAACCCATAGAGTGAAATTGTATTGAGTAATTTGTGTGAATAAAGTATTGAAAGGGGAAAAAAAAATATGTGCAGTACGATGACATCTGTGGGTAAAATAATCCCATTTCTATAGATAATACATGGCCACATGAAAGCAAAGAAAAAAGATATGTAACTAGACAAAATAAACTCATAACAGTTGTCATCTTGGAGGGGGGAAAGATTGGGAGGGAGAAGTTCTCTGCTACATGCAGGATTGATAAAACAAATACCTTTCTATTCTGTTACTGTCTACCACTCCTTATATACAGCAACCCGCGGCCCACGCAGCATGCTAATGTTGTACCTCAGATAATCTGATTGACCTTTCTAGAGCTTATCTGGGAAGGSGGGGGGATAAAAAGGAAAGAGGGGGAAAAAGAAAAAAAAAACTATTATTCATAGCTGCCAACTTGATCTTGTTCTGGAATGAACCAATTTAAACAAGGTGCCAAGGTGAGAGGTTCAAAGACTGATTGGACGCGGTGGCACCAGGATGCCCTACACAGCTGCCATTTCTCTGCAGAAAAGTGGACTTTTTTTTTGTCTTAGTAACATTTTGTGCGTGGTCACCATTATTTACTAAGGGTGTTGAGCCAGCCATCACCACCTCCTTCCAGGCTGGGAGGTCCCTGGCTACACAGGCAGCACATTGTGCTGCACTCTGCAGAGGCCAGCACAGGACCACACCTGGCAGGGGGGTTTGCCTAGACAGCACCAAAAGGAAGCGATTTTCCTCCCCTGGGGGTGGGGGGAGGAATCCGCAGGAAATCCACCTAATGCAATGCCAAAGACAAAACAAAAACAGAACCAAAGACCCAGCATCAGCAGCAAACAACTGGGAAATGAAACAGTCACAAAGAGGAGAACCATATTGTTGGGTCACCCATTTCCCCTCAATTCACCTATAGATCCAAGGCCATCCCAGCCCAAGTCCCAGGAGGCATTTCATACCCCCTGATGAGTGGATTCCAAAACATGGAAATGCAAAAAGTGGAGAAGAGACAAAATGATTTTGCCAAGGAAGAATAAAGTTGGAAGATTTATAAAACTTGGGTCCTCGGATAAAGATGACAATAATGAGACGGTAATGGGCATCCAGATGGACCTCCAGGGCACAGAGCAGGACACCACGTCCAGAAACAGACCCACAGGCACAGGCAGCGGAATTTAACAAAGGTGCCCAGGCAATTCAGTGGGAGAGGACAGTCATCTCCACAAATGGTGCTGGAGCGAGTAGACACGCATGTGGAGGAAAAAATACCCAGCCGTTAGTCTTACCTCCACACACACAAAGACCAACTCAGAATGGATTGTAGATCTAAGGGTAAAACGTTCAACGAGAAAAATTCTAGAGGAAAACTTGGGAGAAAAGCTTTGCAATCTTGATGAACCAGCACCAAGCAAGGAGCAGAAAAGAAAAAAAAAAAAGATCCAGGGATGTAACTCAATGGTAGAGGGCTTGCCTAGCATGCAGGAGGTCCCGGGTTCAATCTCTAGCACTATTAATACCTAARTAGGAATTTGTCAAAACTTAAATTCCCTGTGCTTCAAAAGACACCATTAAGAAAATGGAAATTAGGGGCTGGGGATGTGGCTCAAGCGGTAGCGCGCTCGCCTGGCATGCGTGCGGCCCGGGTTCGATCCTCAGCACCACATACCAACAAAGATGTTGTGTCTGCCGAAAACTAAAAAATAAAATAAATATTAAAAAAAAAAAAGAAAATGGAAATTAAAAAAAAAAAAAAAGYCAGGTACAGCGGCGCATACCTACAATCCTAGTGGCTCAGGAGGCTGAGGCAGGWGGATTAAGAGTTCAAAGCCAGCCTCAGCAAGGCCCTAAGCAACTCAGTGAGATCCTGTCTCTAAATAAAAGGTTAAAAAAGAGTTGGGGATGTGGCTCGGTGGTTAAACACCCCGAGTTCAATCCCTAGTAACAACAACAAAAAAAAAAGGAAATATCAGATTGGAAAAAAATATTCATAATATATATATACCTGAAAAACTTGTCCAGTGTAAACGGACACTCATAATTCAATAGTGAATGACAAACTATAAACATGGGCAAAGGAACTGAGTGGAAACATCACAAAAGACAGAACAAATGACTGACAAGCACCTGAAAAGGTGCTTAACATTAGTCACCAGGAAAATGCAGAGAAGCCAAGGGCACCTCATGCCCTCCAGCACRGCTAAAATTGGAAAAGGCAGGACGTGCAGGATGGGAGGTGCCTGGACCCCCGTGTTTCTGGTAGGACGTTAAACAGTGCAACACCGCCCAGCCCCAGGTGGCCCACTCTCCCTGCCCTACACCACTCAACCAGCCAGAGCTAAACTGTCACTCACAAGGCAGTCCCTGCCTCCAGGGGCTGGGATTCTGTGAGTGGCTCACTTTAAATTAAGCCTTAATTTAGTGTATTAGTTAAAAGCCTGCTGTTAGTACCTCAGGTGACCTCAATCCAAGCCTGAGGAGTCCCCCCGACACACACACACACACACACACACACACACACACACACTTCCATGAGCAAAAACTTCAATACTTGAAACCATCTTCAGAGGTTCTGTAATCGAGGTCACAAACCAGCAGCACTACTATTCCTGGGGAGGTTAGATAGGCAGAACCCGGGGCCCCACCCAGACCCACCCAATCAATCCATCTGTGTTCACCGAGATCTGGGGGGGSCACCACTGCACCATCAGTGGGAATCTCCGGCAGACTCCCAGCTGGACCAAGATGTGACTGAGAAAACACAGGTGCCCCCACGTAGACTGGGGTGGCCCTTGCTGCTCCTCCTTGCTCTGTGGAGGGCACAACACAGGCCCAGGGAGCCAGGACAGAGGCTTCAGCTGACCACAGGCTGTCCCCKAGAGGGGTACCCTGGAGACACTTGGTTGAAAACGAGTGTTCAAGCAAACCTGACTTGGCCAAACCGCTTTAGATGGATATTGCATCTCACTGGGATTTAGGTGAATCACAAACCATCAGGAGGGAAGGGAGGGAGGGAGGAAGGGAAAAGGGCTTGGAGGGATTGTGGCCCTTCAGGAGGTCCTTTCCAAACCCGATGAGGTTGGGGGTGTAGCTCGGTAAGAGCTCGTTCCTCGAGCCCCTAGCCCGGGTCTGAGCCCGAGTAGCACTCAAATTCCTATTTTGGAGACAGGCATAGGAAATCCATGCAAGAAAGAGCGGGGGAAAGGTTAAAAGCTATATGTATGTATTTTAAGAAAAAACAGTCCCTACCTTTTAACACAAAGGAAAGGTAGGTGCTCATAAATTATTCATATTGAGGCAACTCAATGATACAGATGAAACAGATCAAAGGTGTTTCTCACGTCACCTGGCTTTGCCACCAGATCAGTTTTGACACTTTCTCTCTTAAGACACCACCTGCTTCAGCTACCCTGATTCCCACCCCAGCATCCGAGCACCCGAGATGAGGTCACTTTTATTTGCGTGCCCTCACGACTCACCCGCAGCACYGGCCAGCATCGAAGTTCACCACTGAAACAGGTAGAGGGTGCCAGCCTACGAGAGTCCCAGGACTGCTTGGAAGAGAGTCCCGCAGGKTGAGTCCTTCGGCCATATTTATTGAGAACCTCCCTCTCCCAGGCACTCTGGGATGAGGGCGTGGGACACGAGGTCCCAGGTGTCCATGATCTGCARCCTCTCGGGGCTTCTTTACACCCTCCACCTGGCACCCGTGTTCTGCAGTTTAGGGCTCGTAGAAGGTCAGATACCTCTGCACCTTGCTGGACCTATGGGTATCTAAGGCGTCCTGTCTGCCCCCCAGATGCACACGCCCTTTCACGTGCCTGATGTCCCTGATCTCTCACCTCCCTCCATCTCAGAAGAAAAAGTTGAAAAAAATTACCTCTTAAAATCTGATTTTCCCCTCCAGTTAGTTCTAGGCTCAGCTGCCCTGTGATTTTCCCCTCACTTGCTAATTTCTTTTCACTCTTTATAAGTCCTTGCGGCTTCTGCACAGTGATTCCAACACACCAACCACAAACAACAACAGAGGAGGAGGACAATGAAGCCAACGTTTGTCACGGACCCCTCGGCGTTCACTTGTGTTTTAATCCTAAAAATTTTCTCCAATTTATTTATTTATTTATTTATTTTCGTGTTGCTGGAACTTGAACCTGGGCCTGGGGCATGTTAGACAAGGGCTCTACCTCTGGATACCCTCCCAGGACCTTTTCAGTTTGCTTTTATGACAAGGTTTCCCTAAATTGCTGAGGCTGGCATCAAGCTTAAGATCTTCTTGCCTCAGCCTCCCAAGCAGCTGGGATTACAGGTCTGGATCATCATGTTGGTTTTTTTCTTTCTTTCTTTCTTTCTTTTTTTTTTTTTTTTAATTAAGGAGCTGCTTGGGGGATTTGCACTTGGATCTTAAACACTCCAGGGGCAAGTTCTCAGGGCTGCAGTCCCCGTATCTGGAGGGAAAACACCTGTGCCTTTTCTCTCCACCTGCCCAAACACTGATCCTTAAAGCCACTTGGGAACACAGGATCTTAGTTATTTTGAAGTTTCCTCYTTGCCTCTGTACCTGCATGTTGAGCTGGGGACATTCTTAATAGATGTCTCTTTGGATCATATGGTGTCACTGGTACCAGCAAGCAGAGACACATGTAGTAGAATGTTCTTGCAGGAAAAAGAAAAAAAAATAGTCAACCGAACGTCTAGCTCCCAGAAACAGATTAAATCCCTTGTGCAAACACTCAGCCGAAAGCCATGGGGCTATTAAAGGGGATAAGGTAACCCACTCACGCATCATGATCACATGAATCTTAGTACATGTTTCAGGGTGTATAATTTACCGTATGCGTCGATATTATGCAACACGTTGAGTAACAGAACGCGTGTTTATTAAGTTACACGTGCTTGTATTAATCGTGATCATACCGTATTACACACGAGTCATTAGATTAGCACAGCGCACATTAATTAATACACGAAAACATCAAAGTGCAGAGGACGGGGAAGTCGATCGGGATAAGAACACGAGGTGGAATCCGTGAATATGAATCCTGGAGCGCGGTGGGGCTCAGACCGTGCACAGCAGCAGCCACCCGCGAAACCCAGGGGCCGGGCTGCACCCAGAATTTTGCATTCATCCCGTCGGGTTGGACCCGAGGAGTGGCGCTGCTCTGGTCCCGGGACCAGGGACACACCGAAAGCCAACAGGGGAGTCTGCGGGAAGGAGCGTGGGGGGTTATCTTATTAAATGTCCGGACTCACTCCCGACCAGCAGCAGGGCGACACGGTGGGCCCCGCGGTCGGGCTGATCCTGACCACGGCCGTCACCCCTCCGCTTCCGGGGGCCATCTAGCTGCCACTAGCTGCCATCTAGCTCCCGAGACCAGCCGAGCCAGGTCGCTCGAGCTCCGGCGGAGCCGGGATTCGAACCCTGAACTCCGAGACCCAACAGGCTCCCTACTGGCTCGGTCTTTCAGATACGCGTCTTGGGCAGCCCGCGGGGACTCCGGGGACGCCGCCCCAGCGAAGCCCGGGACACCCACTCGCCGTGGGGGCGGGGAGCCGCCGGCGCGCGYCCGCGAAGCCCCGCCCGGCTGGGCCGAGGGGCGGGGCCGCGCTCGCGCCGCGCTCGTGCCCGCGGGCTGGTCGCGGGAGCKGCGCCAGGATAGAGGATCGCGGGGCCGCCATTCTAACGCAGGCGCGGTGGCCAAGTGGTAAGGCGTCGGTCTCGTAAACCGAAGATCACGGGTTCGAACCCCGTCCGTGCCTGCCGCGATCCTTTATCCAGGGGGGGTGAGAATTTTTAGGCGGAAATGAGCTCTCCAAAGGGTTCCTGCAGGGCCACTACGCCCCCGATTCCGCCTTTAATCCTTTCCCTGAAATGCTTAGGGGTGCGATCGTTTTTTCGCTGCTCCCTCTCTTGCAGAAGGTGGAGGGCCGCGTGGTCCAGCTTGGGCAGCGAACTTGGCAGACGGCCCCTACTGACGTCAACCTCTGGGAGAAGGTGCAGAGCTCCGGGGGCCGGGGTCACCTGTAGCCCCAGCAGACCCCCCTAGCTGGTGGCACTTAGCTGGCTTAYGGGCCACTTCACATTTTTCTGAACATTAAAATCCAATCTTATCCACCCCAATRAGAGGACTGCGGTTGCCTGACATGGAGCCCACACCCAGAGTCAGCTGGTGTCTGTCTGGCTGCTATTTTTAAAAGGAAATCCACTGTAGGCATTGCAATTCGGGAGGGAGGGCGGGAGCCCTGCCCAGACTTGAAGAAATTCTGACTTGAGAAAAGAAACCTCTTGCTCAGAGCCTCCATTGGCCCCTCCGTAAAACGGGCGTCTGGCTGGCGCCCTGAGATTCCTAATGGGGAAGGCGTCGGCCTCGTAAACCGAAGATCACGTGATCGAACCTAGGTCAGGCTGAGCTTTCTAACTGCAGAAAGTATTAATGGAGCTCCTGCTGTRTGCTTGGTGGAACTGGACTCTGCATATCTTGATGAACCAGCCCGACCAGAGGAGGCTCTCCTATGCTGCAAGGGAGGAGCTAGGGAAGCTGAGCCTGTAGCAAGCTTGTTAAAACACAGACGGCAGGCTAGCACCCCCAGATCTTCTGCATTCACTGGCTGGGGTCGGGGACTGGTCATTTGCATTTCTAACAAGTTCTGGAATGGTGCTAAAGTTGCTAAATTCCCAGGCCACACTTTGAGAATTATTCCTCTGCCAAGAGCCACATTCTAAAGCCACATCCTCAACCCAGGAAGGAGCGTATGTGTATGTTCATATATAAATATATAAGTTAATGCACACAAAAATAGTGAGCAGCTTCTCACATTTCAACCTGAGGGTCACTTTAAAATGCAGGTTCTGGCCAAACACGTTTATAGTCCCAGCCACTCTGAAAGCTGAGGCAGGAGGATCGCCAGCCTGGGCAACTTATCAAGACCAACTTTAAAAAGGGCTGGGGATGTAGCTCAGTGATAAAGGATGCCTGAGTTCAATGCCCAGTAGTGTGAGTGAGAGCACACACACACACACAAGCAGGTTCTGACTTTGTAGTTGGGGGGGGGGGGCGGGGCCTGAGATGCTGCAGCCAGGGAATGGAGAGAAGGAGGTAAACCAAAATAACTGTTGTTGCTTTATGGTGAAGAAGTAGAATAGGGRAGCTGTTGAAAGGATTCCTTCCCTTCTTACCCTGGACAATGTTTGGATCTTCTTCAAGACAACGGTTTTACGTGGGTAATTTGTCACCTACAAATCCTCCCTATCAAAGAAACAGAAGGAGGAGGAAGTTGTCATTGTTGGATGTGGTGGCGCACACTGCAGGAGGATCCCAAGTTCCAGGCCAGCAGTGACTTAGTGAGGCCCTAAGTAATGTAGCGAGACCCTGTGTCAAAATTAAAAAATAAAATTAAAAGGGCTGGGGATGTGACTCAGTGGTTAAGCACCCCTGCACCCCTCTATTCAATACCTAGTGCCAAAAAAAAAAGAAAGAAGGAAAACACACACACACACACACACACACACACACAGCCTATTAGATGGAACACAGGCATATTAGAACAATCCAGATTTGAAATAGGCAAATGATGGCTCTCTCCACTGGTGCATCCATTCTTCTTCTTCTTTTGAAAAGAGCCACAAAAGAGCATTTATATTCTTTATGTTCTTTATGTTCTCCACCATTAAGAATGTCCCCCAAATGGCTCAGCAGTAGAGCACCCACCTCACACACGTGAGGCCCTGGATTCGATCCTCAGCACTACATAAAAATAAATAAATAAAATAAAGCTATTGTGTTCAAYTACAACTAAGAAAATCATTAAAAAGAAAAGATTGTCCCCTAAGATTCCTCCCCATTAAAAAGGTAAAAATACCTCTGCTCTGGGCAGGTGGGCCAGTATCTATAAAGCATGGTGCTGTTCCCCTGATTTCCCACTCCACCCCTCCCTTCTCACACCCCTGCTTCTCTGTCTCGGGTGAAGAATGTTTTTTAGCAAAAGGCAATTTTTATAATGTATCCTGGACCCCACATATGCAAAGAAAAAAATTACATGAAATAACTAAGCGCATAAATTCATATATGGAGAAGTGCTTGCTTTTTTGTTTCTCATTTTTAAACCTCGGAAGTAATGCACAAATCCCAAAGCTGTCACCTCTGGTGGAAATCTGGGGATGCCATGGAGCTGTAAAACCAGTTTGGCAGGCGGYGTAGAATCAGACACTCACGAGCAAAATCCTGAATTCAAGTTCCGTTTACACTTCGATGAATAAAGCTGATCATGTGATGGAATAGGCAAGATGTGTTGTGTTTATTTAAACCACTTGTGCTCTTGAATAGATAAAGCCTTGTTTGGATTTCTATAACTTTTGTATGAATCTCATGTCTGAAGGTCACTTTGGAGTCAGCCGCCTTTGTTCTTTGAAGAATCACTCCCAGGTCTCTTATTTATTTATTATTTGTTTAGTTAGTTTGTTGTAGATGGACACAATACCTTTGTTTTATTTTTATGTGACGCTAAGGATTGAACCCAGTGCCTCCCACGTGTCAGTGAGCAGCACCTCCAGCTCCCCCCACCCCAGGTCTCTTTTAGATAGGTAAGGGGAAGGTAGGAAGGCCTCTGATGCTGGGGTGGAGCAGGGAAGGAGGCAGGTGAGACAGAACCCGAAGACAACCACACTATGGTGAGAAGGTAGATGTGCATTAGGATCCAGTGGCTAACCGGGAGAGAAGCGCTTCCCACCTCCCTCCCTGTTATCCAAGGTCAATCATGGGCAGGCATCAACTTGAGTTTTGCTGAGACAGATCGCCAGGCTGCAGCCTGAGAAACAATTCCTTTGGTGTCTGAGGCCGAGGGCGCCTAGGTTCCCACTAGCATCCCAGAGTCAGCAAGGGAGCACCACTCTGCCCTCAGAGGCTATGCTGCAGCCACTTCAACAGCGACACCTAGTGGCCGCATGAAGCAAGAGCAGAGCCAGACGGCTTCAGTGGGGCCACACCTCTTGGTGCCATCTCTACTGGGGCTGGGGTTGTGGCTCAGTGGCAGAGCACTTGCTAGCATGTATGAGGCCCTGGGTTTGATGCTTAGCACCCCATAAAAATAAACAAATAAAATAAAGGCATTCTGTCCATCTACAACTACAAAATAAATTTTTTAAAAAAGAGGCCATGTGTCATGTTCCATGACATGGACATGTCATCTTAAAAAAAAAGAAAAAAGAATCTCGACTGGCCACCTAATAATCTCTTTGTACCTTAATTTCTCCCACTGTAAAATCAGAATGACACACACTCACCGGCTTTCTCTGTCGTGGACTTCTAATGACCATCCTACATTTCTGTCCACCAGCCAGGATGGTTTGGTAAAGAGCCATTCATGGCCCTGCAGGTAGACTTGGAAAGAGTGACCAATTCATTGACCTGAAGGGGTGACCATGAATGCAGATGAGTAAGAGAAATTGATATTTTGGATCTTGCCTTTTAAAGATGAATTAAGGAAGTCGGGTACGGTGGTGCTCGCCTGTAATCCCAGTGACTTAGTAGACCAAGGCAGGAGGGTTGCAAGTTTGAGGCCAGCCTTAGCAATTGAGCGTGACCCTAAGCACTCAGCAAGACTCTGCCTCAAAATAAAAAAATCCAAAAGAGCTCTACGGATGTAATTCAGTGGTAAAGCACTCTGGGTTCAATCCCCAGTACTAAAACAAATAAATAAAGATGCATTAAGGGACTGAGATGTAGTTCAGWGGTAGAGCACTTGCCTAGTATTCAAGTGGCTCTGGGTTCCCTCCCCAGCACCCTCCAAAAGGAATAAAATATGATGATATGCATTAAAATTGCACATATTTAATGTACACAATTGGGTGATCTTGGACATGTGCATACTCCCTTGATACCATCACCACAAACAAGGTAATGAACATATCCATCACCTCCGAGAGTTTCCCTGAGTCCCTTTGAACATATTTATTCATTTATTTGGGTGTGATAAAAGTACTTAACATGAAATAATTTCTCTKAATGAATTTTTAACTGTACACTATCATGCGTTGACTCTTAGGCACTATGTTGGTAACAGATTTCAGAATATATTGCTCTTAGGGAACTGTGACTTTAGGTCCCGTTTTGGCTGGGATGCAGTTCAGGAGTTGAGTGCTTGACTAGCATGCGTGAGGCCCTCGATCCACCCTAGTACCGCAAAACAAAAAACAAAACCACATCTATCAAGAGATTTACCTGTATGTGCCTGCATTGATTTTGAATTCTTAGGCTCTAAAGAAATTCCAGTTCCATGCYAAGGAAGCCCCATGCAGCAGGCTATCGATAATGAAGACCTACATGTGGCGTGAGGAAGAAAGAATTTGCAGGGGAAAATCACTACTTTTTTCCTAGTATCATGACCAAGAGAAGCACTGTGATTTTTTTTTTAATTATTATTTACAACCTTTGCAGTACAAACTTATAAAGTTAACCACAGGAGCAGGGTGAGGGGAGAAGAAGAAATGTAAAGAATCAACAGTTGGGAGACCTCTGGAGAGCAGGGTTGTTCACACAGAGAAGGCGCTTGCATGGAGACAATGCCAAGTCCCCAGTGACAAAGCTCGGTCTTGCTCCATAGTGACCCTCTGCAAGAAGAGGCCTCCAGTCCACACCACCTTGGCAGGCCCCCCCATCTGGTGTGACATCATGTGCTTAAAAAACTACATTAAAGAATTTTTTAAAAAATGAGATGCTTATTAAGGGAGCAAGTGGTTTGTATACGTTCATGAGCTGAGAACCACATTTCAAAACCAGAACCATATTTCAGGCACGAGTAGCACTTAAAAGAAAATACTGTGGCAGGCCTCTGGAAGCAGCTTCCGTTTTGCTGAGCAAATTGCCAGACTGGGGCACAAGAGACCCTTCCCACGATTCCATGTTCCCTTTTGCCTCTGGCCTTCTGGGAATCATGCCCCAACCCGCTTTGCTTGGACTGTGATATGAGCAAGAAATAAACTTGCACTGTGTTAAGCCA